AGTTATCTTCCCCAGACACAGAACTGACAGTCTCACTAACCTTAATCTGTCTGGTTTCACTGCTACATTGCGTTACTGCACATATTTCAGGTATTGCAAGGCAGAGCAGAGTATCAAGGGAATGTACACCCTGCCAGCTACAAAGGACAAAAGGCACAAACAAGCAGAAGAGATAAGGCCATGACAAGTGTAGTGAAGAATATTGGGTTTTGTTTTGCAAATTTCTTTCTTTTCCATCATGAACAGATTTTGTCAAGAAATGTAAGAATCAGATTTTAAATAAAAGTGCTTGCAAAAAAAAAAAAAGAGGAGTTGTGCAGAGGCTGTTTATGAGGTGTCTGCTTTCACACCACATACTTTTACTAGCTAGGTATCAAAATATGGGAGCCAAAAATTGTCTGAGTACCTCATTGTTTATTCTTGCTCAGACTGGCATAGGCAAGTAAATGTCTTTCCAAGTGGAGGAAGAGAGGATACAGTACGACAGTCAGTCTTGGCACAGACTTTTTATGTGTATAATCAGCAAGGTTTCTAGAGCTGCTTGATTCTTACAAAGCAATGACACACAGTCTGTTTTCCTCTTTCAGCTTCTAATGATGACAGCCATCGGCCTTCAAGTTTGTTCAAGTTCCTTGCAAGTGCCAACAAATTAATTAAAACTTCACAGGAATGTGACAGTCTCAGGAAAAAATAGAGTAGTAGGGCTGAAACTTCTCTTGCTATTTTAGAGAAAGTACATTTTAGAGGAAACAGAAAGCCTTTGGTCTTTACTTCTTTCCTAAGAACTCAAGAAGTGCTTTTAAGGTACAGATTTGATAGCATTGCTATGATCTTTTTACTTTCAAAAAGTCTTGCCTTTATGCAAAGAGTATATTAATATTGCTGTGAAAAGAATTAATACCCAAATCACAATCTCTTCCACTTAGACCCTCTGATTGAGTTAAGGATTCTTCAGCTTGCCAGAGAAATTATACATCCCATGATCACAGTCCTCCAAGGATGCACGTGTATGCATGTGGAAGATGGTGAAGGAAGATCATAGCAGCAGTCACAGCACCCCGATCTAGCCTGACTTCTACTGATAAACTCATTACCTCTTGGTATACATTAATCCCATAAAGTGTGGGCAGCAGTATCAAAGATACGAGAGACACTAACAACAAAGGAATTCATTATTGCCCTTCCCTCATCCCCCAAATGAGAAATTGCATTTCTCTGCTACTGGTATTTGGTCCTGACAGCACCTACAGAATACAGACTGCAAGCTGAGAAAAAACAGTCTTTTTGAAAGAATAGTATCCAGGCTTCGCTTGTCACACATGCACGTGTGAGCAGAACAGAGCAAACCTAACTCCACTGACACATAGTTGTCCTTGTAAGAATGGGAGGAGGTATATAAGTGGATATGCAAAAAAAAAAAAAGTGTTGACTTCAGACCTACTTTTTACTTTTTACTAAAGCAATCTCAGCATCTAAATAACATGTGCTACATACTCTTTTCCACATTCTTGTCCTCGCTGTGCATGCATCTTATGGCCTGTACACACAAATTTGTAATGAGTTACAAAAGGGGCAGCAATAGTTCTAAGACATGATGGTTTCTCATTTTAACGACAAGTCCAGGGCTTGTTCCAATCACTGTGAATTCCCTTAATAACACTATTTATCATAGGAGCTAAATTAAATTTCATAATTTTAATTTCCTGTAATGTAAAAAGTTAGACTCATTTAAATTTGATCTAATTTGTGTATTCCTCACCTCGCCCCAGGCAGCAGGCGGAGGCTCCACAGGAGGGTAATATTTGGGGACATCCCAAGCCACTGCAGCCATAAACCACTTGAAATCTTTACATTTAAGGTGCTTGCGAAGTTCCTTCTGGGCAGAAATATCACCAGTTGAGAGATGTCTGTACTCAGGCCGGCGCTGGTAAATGTACTCTGCAAACTCATCCATCCATGTCTCTGCCACGCGCTTCAGGTTCTGTGCAGCAGAAAAAAGCAATCATTAATTTCTTCATGCTTTGGGTGAATATTTCTAATGGGGAGAATTAAGCAAAAAAAATTTCAGTAGTCCACACAACTTCTAAGCTTAGCTGGTCACATTTCTCAGTCTTAAAACATGGAAAAATACTGCTAAATGTATGCTATCTTCATTAGAATGTTGAGCAAACACTATAGAGTATTAAGCACTATTTTGTTTGTTGAATATCTTATTTTCCTTCATATTCTTTATGCATCTTCACATGGGTTTTTGATTAATGATGGATGTTGAACAGAAATTTTCTTTCGGCTGCTCACATCGGCACCTATGTTTTTTTCCTGTTAGTTCAGAACCTACTAATGCGCGTGAATGGTTCAAATTATTCCTTCTGATGTATTTCACTTTGCATTTGAAAGGCATCTGAATTTTCAGCTGTCATCGTACTGCTTAGTCACCTAGCAATTCCGACCTAAATTTTAGGGTCAGGTCTTACATGTGCATGTATGGGGGCAAACAGTCAAGAGCTTGCTGTGCCCCGTCTCACAGCTGGTTTTGCACTATCTTTGGACTGGAAGCTTCGCTGCATCGGCGTGCTAGCAAGTCTGTGCCAAAGCATAGCACGTAACCCTGACGTGGAGCTGACCTGAAGCAAAGCAGCCTATGGAATAGGTATGGCAACTTGTGGCTTCCTGCACTCATCCTATAGACATATCTAAGACTATTTCTGTTCCATGAAACCCAGTTCTGGCTTATGTCCCACAAAGCTTATTTTTGTTGGCATTTTACAGGAAATAGAATTACCTGCTTTGTTGAGTAAGGATTTATCCAAATTATAATTAATTAAATTAGCTGGTTCAAATTATAAAATAAAATAAAAAAAAAAACTTGTAAGGAAAAATCGTGAATAGGTGAGACTGAAGAGATTTATTTTATTGTTATTTAGCATCATGGAATCTGACTAGGCTAGGGACAAATTTGTCTGTATTTTTGTTTGTTTTAAAAATTCCTCCTGCAACTTAATTCACACAAATTTATATGCAGATATCGTAGTGGAGTACAGGCTTAGTCTATTCTGCATTTCCACAGCTGCCCAATAACCTCTTATCCCACCAACAAAGCAACATCTCACTGGATGACACTGAGACACTAGGGTGCTCTTATTGCTTTGTTTGTAAAAACAAGATCATCAAGTTTTGTAATATTCTTTTTATAGAACACTAACTGCAAAATGCTGAGATTCGCTCCGTAATAAGCTGGAGGACAATATACATCTGATTATCATCAACATAAGGCAATGTTTCTACTCAGAACGTTCTCTGCATCTAAGTAAGCCTGATTTGTACTCTGATTTGCTTTCAAGATTCATTTGAAAATTCCTCTCGTGAATTTTATTAATCCACACAAACTAAATGTCTCTGAACTAATAAGGCTTATCTGAATACAAAGACAGCAAGATACAGAAAAAACAAAGTACTTTCAGCTGACACTACAAGATAAGTTTCTGTGTGCTTTTTCTCTGTGAAGCAAATATATTGAAACCTGCAGGGATAAAGCAAGTAAAATTAAAAGAGTATGAGAAATCCCAACACTTATATCCCTATTGAAAAATGGCCCATGCCCCACATAAGGTTGATTTTTGTTGTATTTTCATGAAAACCTAAAACACTTTACAAGAGAATAGAATTTAAGAGTACAGGAACTGGGTAGGACAAAGAAAACCAGAACAAATTCAAGAACAGCATCTAAATGACAATCCCACCTTTCTGGCACAAACCCTGTAACACAGGAATCTCCTGAAAAGTAAATATACTATGTGATGAGACTTTGTAGATGAGGCCAAAATATGATTAAGCACATTAAACTAAGAAGCCAAAATCATGAAAATAGGTGTGACCTTTCTAGCATATTTTCTGCTTTTAAATGCTGTATACCTCCTTTACTATAATGCAAATGCAGTTTAAGACTATTCTAGAAAATTTCATACTAATTCTTGTAAACACTTTATCTAATAGTCTTATTTTCATATTTAAAAACCATACTGTAAAAAGAACCATAGGGTGAAAGTAGAGGAAAATAAATTCTCTTAGGAAAGAAAAACTCAAAGTAACTCCAGCAAAGCCTTACCCCATCAATATTAAGAGTAGTCTCTGCTGGAGTTTCCTCTTTAGCTATTGGGCTAAGTTAAAAGAACTGCATTCTACTTCAGATAGTTGTAACTGAATAAAACAGGAGTCCAACAGAAATCTTGGTATTATACCTGATCACTAGATCAAAATTCTCATTCATCAGTCAAAACCTTTGTTTTCCAGTGAGTCTTTTGTCACTGTTTGGTTTTGTGTGTGTAAACACACCAAAACATTGCATTAAAAAACTCCAAAACAACAGTTCTTCCCACTATTCCCCAAGTATCAGGTAAGACACTTTAGAGAAATCTGTTTAAAAAACTTTGTTCCCAGTTCTTCCAAGACCATTCTCTCCATCATATGCTAAAAATCTTCTCACATCTTGCCAGATCCTATAATGAGCCTATATATTACCCTTAGCATGTTTATACATTGCTACCATAAGCTGAACCCATATGAGGCAGCCCTTCGAATTGCAATATGTTCCCTTTTAAAAATATAAGCTCTTCATTTGCTAGCTCTAAATCTCCAGACTGTTTATGAACATGACGGCAAGGAACTCTGTGTCCTGGAGCAGTGGGAAGCTCCTTCTGAGTTTGCCAGTTACCTGGGAGCAAGCACTCAGCATCCAAACACGTTAGTTTTAAAGAGGTTTGTTGACTTCAGCTAGCATGGGTTTCTCATCCTTACTATCACTATGCAAGCTCAGTTATCACCATGCTTCATTTTAACGTAAACCTGTACAGACTAGTAGTAAAACTTCAAATTGCAGTTAATCTCCATCCCTGAATTGAATGCAGTTGGGTAAGGATGCTGTCCTGAAACCCAGTCCGCTGTAACCTTGCACAATGAAGACAAACATCATTTACATTCTTATTTAGAATTTCTGGGGCAAAAATACAGGCCGTCCAAGACGAGATGAGCGAGAAAAATGAAACATGTTTCTACAGCTGAAAACCGCTGTAGCTTAGCCTGGTTGTCAAATTCATTGCGAGGTTACAGATGTCCAGATAGGTTAGGCTGGTCTTTTAATAGAAAAAAAGGAAAAACAGAAATCAAATAGGAGCAATCAAATGAAGATCAATTCCACATTAACCAGGTACGTGAATTGACGCACAATGTAAGGAAGCCACAGGAGACTCTAGATGGAGACCTTAGGAGTTTCTCAGGACCTATCCATAACAGAACAATGACAACTTGTTCTTTCTCTTGTCATTTTCAGCAAAAAATTTCTGCATGAGAATAAATAAGCCCCAAAGATATTTCAGTAGATGCATGTTTCTATATGTAAGGTTGTGACAGTTGTCACCAGGAAGCTGTGAGATGCATATAAAAGTGATGGCAAACACTCACCAGCTGTCAGTTGCCCATGTGTGCATTCTTGATATAATTAAGTTTTGTGTCACTGTTACAATTTTACTCTCTGGTAAATCCTTTACTGTTGGGCTTACATTTGGACAAGTTTTCTTGAAGTTTGTATGAACTCACATGTTTAAGACTGCGACTTTGTTTTGTACTTTCACTCAGCAATAGTCTACAAGACAGTAAGTTACCATGTCACTGATACCTGGACTTCAATAAAATTGAGTTTAAATCAACTTGACTGGAGAAAGACAGAGACAAATGAGGACTTCTGCACTTGAAAAAAAGAAATTTTTCATGGACCATTTTGTCCCTTTCGCTTTCTTCAGTGAGTGGGGAAGATACAGCTCTCTGATCAAATGACTGTCCCTTCTTTTGAAGTGTGTAAGGTCATCTGTCATTTTCAAGAGATGTTATATTACTCCAATAAACCCAGTGAGAACAAAGTAGACGCCGGCCATGAGAATGGAAAAGTTGAGCGAGGCAGGGACAAGTCAAAGGACAGATTCATAAATATTCCCTTTAAGCAAGGTTTAAGTAGATCGGTCCCTAATACAAGAGGGGTAGTTCCAACATTTCATAAATGTGGCTGGCTTGTGACAGCACTGGTAAGAGAGCTACCTAGCTGTACGCTATTCTGCATTGTGAGCCTGCACAGCTCCATCCTATACATATGGCATCTTTTCCAATTGACGTTCTAGATGCAGCAGTTAAACTAATATAAAAATGTAATTTCTGTTTTCAGTTTCTGCAGATGTTCTACAGTAGGTTTTTGTCATCTGCTGGCACTAAGGCAGCACAATGGTTTTATTATTTGTTTCATTTCACCTGCATAACCTGTTTTATCCGCTTCTGTGACTTACTCACTGTTCGCATGAAACCAACCCTGACCCCAATCCACAGACTTTTGCCAGTATTAAACCACTACAGGAACATTTGGATCCTGTGACGAGTTCCTGTTGTCCTACATTTAATCTGAACATTTTCCAGGAAGCTGGATGTCACCAGCTGGTGTAGTCTTATTTGTCATTACAGTCATTTCTCTCATCAGCCAGGACATCAGAATTCACTTTCAGTTACACCAATCAAATATGAATCACCACAGAACATCTGAGGCCTGACTGTACTTCAGTTGTGAAATAGAAGAGAGGACATGACTGTTCATTTGCTAAAAATAAGGCGACAATCTCTGCAACAACTGACATATTAATCTCTTTTTCCTTCCTAGTAAAATTCTAGTGGGTTATTTTCACTCCATCTACATCATCTTCCTAATTTAAACATTTTTTATTGTTTGTTTTGTGAAGCAAACTTCAAAATGGGTGCCCTGTTTACTTCTGGAAGCAGTCATATTTCATTTGGCTGGAAACAATGTAACATACAGTTTGTTTTACGTAAGATGCATTTAAAAAGCACACTGGGATCCATCCAGCCAAGACAACTATACTTTATGTTCCTCTGGAATTCGGGTAGCATAACATCACAATAAATCATCATGGAGGAGGAGAACAAAGT